TCATCATTCTCGTATTCTTTAACAGGCCACTCGGGATCGATGTGGGAAATTTCTTGCACATCATCATTTTCGTGTGGGGTCAATGTCACTGATAGTAGTAGCATATGACATTTCAAAGAAGTGATGGAATCATTTCTCATTACTTTCGTAGTTCACACCTTTGTAATTATTTGTGTGAATATGGTGATAGTAAGAATGAAAATTTTAAAACTTTGTGGTCTGCTTTTCCTTGTAAAGGCCAACTTTTACCAACGCAAAAAATTGCTTAAACATCGACTGTAGTATGTATCAATGTGACCAATACAAAAGCCATGGTGGGGTAAAAAAAAGCACTGATAATACTTTATTACTTTTTCTTTTATTAATCTTTATATGTGACTTTAAACTCTCAAACTTTCTATCATCATTATAATTTAAGGACTCACCACTAGATTTCATTGTGAAAAATCTCATTATGAATTTTCATCCTTTATAGTGGTGAGAAAATACTAGGAAATCATAGCTATTTCATATCATGTGTGTTTCCATGTAATATATTACATGAGTAAAATAATTGCCAAAAAAGTGCATGTTCAAATAAGTACAAATTTGATTGTATCTATTTTTATATAAATTTTTATAATTAAACTTGAATTATTTTCGTCATCATATATTACTATCTATTACTTTATCATATGCATTATTTTTTGTGTGCTTTTATACATCAAATATAAAAAATTTCACATCAAAATAAATAAATATATATAATAAATAAAATGTCTATTAGTGTAACCAAAGTATGTGACTTAGTGGTATTTTCTCTCATTTCAAGGAAAAAGGTAAAGGGTACAGTCTCCCTAAGTACATTGTGAGAATTAATTTGCAGGACAAAAATAAATATTTTTGTTATAGTAAAATAATTAAAATAAAACATGTCTAAATTCAAACAAAATAAATAAAATTAGAGTAAAATGTTTCTATTCTCTTAGAAACTAAGTAAAGAATAATTTTAAATCCAAACAAATTGTTACATAAATTCTATTTGATTCTTAAAATTGGTTATTACAGTCGTTCATTGTAGAAATAAAGTAATTATAAATTAAGTACATTATTATAATAGTACTTTAATGCTACTTTTGGTAATTTTTGTTTTCTATGTCACAATCATACATGATAAAAGTAATTTATTGATAATTTTATAAACTTATTAAATGAGAACTTCTACTTTCAAAAGGGAGGTTATGAGTTCGAGACTTAATTGAAGCATGTGTGTGTGAATACCAAATTAAGAAAGAAAAAAAAAAAACTTGAAAAAAAATTATAATTTGTCTTATTATAGTCATGGGATTAGAGACAATGTATGAATGCATGATTATTCTTCTCTTTGAATTCTTAATCAAAGAGATTTTTATTTTATAAAAATAAATTAATTTTTTAAATAAAAACTTGAATAAAAATTATAATTTGTATTATTATAGTCATGGGATTAGAGACAATGCATAAATGTGTAAACAAAAAAGGAAAAAAAAAAAAAAAAAAGTATAAATGAAACATAATAATATAATATTAAAATATGCTAGAAATAATACACCTTCTGCTACGTTAAAATGGTAAAATACACCTTCAAGTGTCCTATTGCGTTTGCTAAACTTTTCCATCATTATTGTGGGGTTTGGCGCTGCCATTGGGCAACGGATAGCTATTGAACGACAATGTGTACGCGTATTATAAAATGACAATGTTTACGCGTAGACCAACGGAATGAACAATGCTTGCACATCACCTTCTGTACTCTATATCAACAATAAACGAAGGAAGGTTCGTGGAAAGTTACAAGCAAATTCCTCTTTTGTATACCTTTAAAGTTGGAGGAAATGACTCAGATTTGAATACGCATCCAGCTTTATTGCTACTGAAAATATATAATATGTGCAGAGTACTGTGCATCTACGTACGTAGACGTAGCTATTACATTTCGTCTCTCTCTATATATATATATACTACGAAGTAATTGGTCTCCAGATCTCTAGCTCCTAATTCTTATAGTAGTCTGTATAAATAGAGGCTTAAACTCTCTTTTTTTTTTTAGTTAAAGAATAGAGGCTTAAACATCTAATAAAGAGATACAATTGATCTTATTTCTTCAAGTTAGTTGGTTTTTATTGAATGTGTAACAATTATTTTTGACTTTTCAAAGTTAGCCAATTTTTACACTTATACTTTGGTGCATCTGTAATTTTAGTAGAGTTAGTTGAATAGAGAAATACGTGATTAAATCATCTCCACAATATATTCCGCTGCATAACTCACAGTTAACTACAAGTCCATTTTAATCTAAGTCAACATAATAGGTAACTTGTTTACTATTTTTTAGTAGTCAAAGTTTAAAGTATTTTTATAATAATACTTCCAATTCCATGCGATCGGACCATAGCAAGTTCATATTACAACCAAAGTTTAAACTAAATTACTTGTATTAGGGTCCTTTGAATCTCTTCTATTATTATTATTATTAGTATTATTATTATTATTATTATTATTATTATTTCTTAACTATGAGGCCACTTTAATATGCTCAACATAATATGTAACTTGTTTACTATATTTTAGTAGTATTTAAAGTGTATTAGTTTAAAATAAGGTTATAATATCAAGGGTTGTAATATCATCCTATTAACTTTTTCGTCTTTTAAAGTAAAAGATAAAGAATTAAAATCTCTATAGGAACAAAATAAATGTATGAGTTTCTTGCTTATATAATAATGATAATAATAACTAATTTAAATGAAACCTTTATAACATGTAGTATATCACCAAGTCATTGGCTTAGATTATATAATATCTCTTGTTTTAAAGGGGGAGATTAGAATTTATTTATCATAGTGAGAATTTGTGGAAGTTATGTATGAAATTATTTACATTAAATAAATAACGCGTAGCGGACCTTTTCAAAGAAATTTTTTTTTTCAAAGACTACATTCAAAAGCAACCAAGCAACAAAAGCAGCACCATTGGATGAACAGTAAAGCATTCAAACCTTGTGGTTTGGTTTTTCCTTTTATAAAGGCATCCAACTTCGCACCTCTTAGCAAGGTAAGACTTAGGAAATTGCTTGAACATTAATTGTAATCAACACTTAATGTAATCAACACCATGAATGGTGGTAAAAAGATGCCAACCACGAAATGAAAACTTTAAACATTTGTTTTCTTTTCCCTTTAGTCCATGTGGAGAATTTAAACACTCAAAACCTTCCATTGCCTTTAGAATTTGAGCTCGATTTCATTTTATTGAATCTAAAGATCACGTTGACAAAGTCATAAATTAATTTGGTGGGGGCAACTTTAAAAACTAATGAAATTAAATTCTTAATAAAAATAATATTTAAGTTAATTTTAAATATATGATAATTTCGTTCAATACATTTATAATTTTTCTTTACTAGTTTTTATGTTGTTAAAACTTTTCAATTTCACTATTTATATTATCAAAGATGAAGGGTTGATGTCTCAATAAGAATAAAACGTGTAATTGTATTATTTTTAAGGAAAAAAAATCATCACCGCTATATTTATATTTCTCAATCCCTATAATGACAGTCCTAATTGATAGAATCAACAATAATATTACAAATAAATAACCAAATAGTTATGTTTTGTCCTTTTTAATCTCAACTATAAATTATTAGTATTTTTCTTATCATCTTGAGTCTTGCACTCCACCTTTGAAAAGATAGATTGTCGCATCTTGAGTCTTGCACTCCACCTTTGAAAAGATAGATTGTCGCGTATTTATTTATTTATTTTAATTATTAAAATAAAAACAAGGAGCAAAAGATAGAAGTGGGGATGAAAGTAAAAAAGCAAGGGAGCAAAAGATAGAAGTGGGAAAAAAAGTAGAATTTTTAAAAAACTTAATTTATTACTTGGCCCCATCCGAAAAGCAAAAAAGATATTAGCCATAGGCTCTATACTATTAAATTGTACCATAAAACTCTCAAAGATATATAGTCTATGTTTGTTTCAAATTTCAAATTTAAAAAAAAAAAAAAAAAAAAAAAAAAATTCCTCAATTAGTATTATCCTTTAAAATAGTCAAGAAATCATTGAGAAAATATCTTATGTCATATTGTGCATGTTTGTATGTTACACAATAAAATAATTATGAATAAGTACGTATTTCAATAAGTATGAGTATGAATTAATCTTCCCATAAATAAATTGTTTGAAAAGTTTTGACATATATATATATATATATATAGATATATATATTTTTCCTGGCAAACAGCACAAACACCAAACACCTCCAGAATCATTGTAAATCAAGCTCATCAAGCTTAGTGCGATGGAGTACATAAATATATATATATATATATATATGTATATATATATATATATGGGTACATAACAGAAATTCAGCTATGCATGTTTTACCAACTCTTTATATGTCACAATTTCATATCAATTATAAACAATTTTCTTTTTAATTTTTTTAAAAAAAGCTAAATAAATTGTCATCCATCCCATGCACAATTTAAAAATAATATAAGAAATTCAAGATAATTGTTGTGCATTTAGTCAAATATAAAGCAAAATGAAATAAGCATACTAAATAATTAATCAGTAATTATAATATAATGAAAAAATTATAAAAATAAATAAATTTTAATCCAAGCAACCATTAATGTTAGAAAGATGCTTCTTAAGGGCACCATTCAAAAAGGTCAGTCCCAAAATAAGTACAAATTTGATTGAATCTATTTTTATATAAATTTTTATAATAAAATTTGAATTATTTTCGTCGTCATATATATTTACTAGTATCTATTTCTTTACTTTTGCAATTACCTGATAAGTAACTTGCGGCACCCCCACCAACCAACTCATTGTGTTCAATTAAAACGCGCATTCCCTGATGGCCACAGATGGAAGCAGGAAATTGCTTTGCACATTATTATGTTATGGGTCCATTGAGTTCAAAGTCACTGCCATAAAAGAGAGATAGGAAGCTGCGTGGAAAGTCACAAGCAAATTCCTCATCTTTATGTATACGCGTAAAGTGGGAATGTGGGAGGCGATGGAAAGTCACAAGCAAATTCCTCTTTTTAGATATATGTACAAGATCTACTATAATATATATATGCAGACTCTAGATATATATACTAATTGCTATCTAGATCACTAGCTCCGAGTAATTTGGCACACAATTTAGCAAAAATCCTATGGCTTCTTCTTTATCATCTTCATCAGTGCCTGGATCTGAATATGATGTGTTCTTAAGTTTTAGAGGCCCAGACACTCGCAAAACCTTTGTGGCCCATCTCTACGCCGCTCTGTGTGACAGAGGAATCAGGACCTTCAAAGATGACGAAAGGCTTGAGCAAGGAAAATCCATATCTCCAGAGCTCATCAAATATATTAATGAATCAAGAATTGCTGTGATCGTCTTCTCCAAAAACTACGCTAATTCATTATGGTGCGTGGATGAACTGGTGGAGATCCTTGAATGCAGGAGGACCAAGGGACAGATAGTGCTGCCCATCTTCTACGATGTGAAACCGGCGCAAGTTCGGAACCAGAAGAGGAGTTTTGCGGAAGCATTTAGATACATATTCTGCTTTGAAGGTTTTGCAGAAGCATTTATATATATGTTCCGTCCTAGAGAGATGGAAAGGGTGGAGAGACGAAGGAAAGCTTTGAAGGAAGCAGCAAATCTATGCGGCTTGGATTTACAAGATGCAGCAGATGGGTAAATAACTATATATATATATATATATATATATATGTTCTGCTTCATCAGTTTACTAGTAGCTTATTAGAAATAAAAGATTGTTGGATACATTAAATTTAGCTAAATATGAAGATGATGTCGAAGAAGATTGAGATAATGATGAATGATCAATCTTAAACAACATTCAGGATTTTGAGGTACTCTCTCCCACACGCTCACAAATAGAGATGGAAAGTTTCAAATGTTATTATCTATTCCAAACACGTGTTTGAGATTTGGTCTCATCCCTTAATTATAAATTTATAAAATGGTTCCCCTACCTTCTTCTTTATATATTTTTTTTAAATCAAAATTTATTCCCCTCTCACCGATTTTAAAAACAATCTACATCTACTATTGTTTTATTAGCCATCTAGACATTCAAACCAATCTACATACTTATAAATGTATGAATGCGTGTGTATTGGTATGTTTTTTTCCTTCCTTTCCTTGAATATTTTATCATTTTAATTTTCTCTTACTAATCTGAAATTTAGCGTTGATGATTTTTTCAATATTAGATTTCATGTGATTGTGTTTGTGGGGCTCAAACAATGGGTTTACAATTTTGAATTACACCCAAATTGACTGAACTCATAATAAATACTAGGATAAAAGAAAAAAGATTGGATTTCGGTTCCTCTAGATTTTTTCTTTTTAAAATTAAAGATTATTGGATGTCCTTGTAATATTGAAAAATTAAAGATTGTTTCTTTCTTGCTTTGGTTTTACTAATCAGAAAGCATTGGGAGAAGAGTGAAGGACTTGTTTAGGTTGGTATAAGACGAGATGTTCCAAATAAGAAGACAATGAAGATGGAAAAAGAAGGATGCTAGCTGCCTAATGGCTAAGTTTTTCAAATTTATTCATATGTCTTGTACCCGGTTTTGTTGATAACCGATATTGAAAGTTTTATATTAGTTGAACACGGTTTGTTTTATTTAGAAACTTTGTTTTTGGCATGAGATATGAATTGTGCCATCATCTCAAAAAGATTGAATAGTTTTAATAAGTTTACCTAATTTATTCTCCACTGCAACCTGAAACTCATTGAATTTCTCAAATGTTTCAAATTCATGATGCATTCGGTAAATATAGTCGTCTTCATAAGTAAATATGCTAAATACTCATAGTCTCCTCTTGCTGGAATAGTTATAACGTCACTTGTATCAATTCTAATGTTTCTTTGGCCTTTAAAGGTTTGTTGGTCATTTGATGGGCAATACAACTCAATGCAAGATTTATATATTGACATAAGTTCCTCTGCCTCCACAGGTCATAAAATTTCTTTTACCAAACTTTGAATCGTGTTTTGATTAATAGGAGTTGCCAAAGGTAGATTAAATTTTTGAATCGTGTTCCTAAGCGAAGATGCCAAAAGGTACATTAAATTTTTTTAAGGAACCTTCTTTTAACACATGGATTATTGGATGAATTATTGAATTCAGTGTTATGCAACAAATAGGAGTTGGAATAACCATTATGCTTAATCAATTCAGATTACTAGATGAACCTTTCAAGTAAGTAAATATGATTATTGTTAGAATATTTGTTTGATTAGAATTTCACACAATTTAAAATTTTGTCAATATTGGTAAAGAACAAACATATTTAGAAAATGATAGATAGAGTCAAAACACACCACCTCACATCTGTTGCTAAGACTGTCTTTTTATTTACAATTATAACTAATTGAGTTAATTAGTCTCTTAAAGTCCAAATATATTCAGAGCCCGTGCTTGAACGGTTGGTCAACGTGTCTAGTCAAATCCATATTTACAATTGAGTACTCCTATCCTTTGTTACCAGAACCAAACAGCCGACCAAGGAGAAAAATTCTCCAGTCATCCAATGCACCAAAAAAGGATGGTACCTTTTCCAGCATTGTTATTTTGCTTAAACAAAATCGTTGGTCGGGCATTGTCGTTGGTTGTTTGACTGGTGAATAAATTTATCAATTATATCTTTTTAATTTATATCTTTTTAATTTAATGAGAAATCACTTAATTATATCGTTTTAATGTTATTATTATTATTATTATTTATAAACACTCCGCTGCCACTATACCTTTTATTGGAGTAGATATTGGGTGTGTGGGCATTCCAGGTCAATGGTATGCTTGTCGAATGAAATTCAATATTGCAGTTAATTTAAGAGAAATTATTAAATGGTCCAGGTCTATTGACAGTACTTGAAACGAGTTAAATCTAAATTCTCGGATAGACAAAATGATTACACTAGAGTGTATTAATATATTATAAAGAAATCTCAACGTCAACTTTTATTGAATTAAATCCTGAAGTGTCAAATGGTCAACGACCATTTAATAATTTTTTTCATTTTAATAAAATAATATATTTTAATTGGTTAAGAATATAATGACGTGAAATGTCCAACACACTACTCATATTTTCCCCTTAATAAGACTTGAATCCTCAATATTTTACTCAAGAAGTACCACCAATTTACTATAGTCTTGAGTCTTTATTTAGTTTTGAGCATAGTCTAAGTTTTTTTTGTTTTATACCCAATGCTATGGCCTCAATCTAGGGCAGATTAACATTAATTATTGACCGTTGTCATCTTTCTAGGGCAGATTAGCATTAATTATGGACAATTGTCATCTTTCTTTTGATTTACTTTGTACTAACCTTTCATGACATTATATATTAGCACCTTTAACTTTATTTTATCATTTCTCTTTCCATCTTAGCTTTTCTTAGGGCAAAGAAAGTCCCAAAAAAAAAAAAAAAAAAAATGAATAGCACATATGATGCGCACTATTCCCCCTCCTTGTGTTCAAATTCAAAAAAGAAAGAACAGCATGTGACAAATGTACAGATCCGATATTATGTTAAACTACCGGGAATGGTATTGGAAAAATGAAAATATTCTTACTCGCACGTGACCATTCATTCATCAGATTTCATGTTTATTCCACAAAAAAAAATTTTAAAAAATAAAATAAGAGTAAAGTAACGTAATACCCCTTAAGATTTGCCAAAAGAATATTCAGATGGTAATAAATTGACATTTTTACCCTTTGACTTTTATACTGACTAATTTAAATGCTGAAATGACCTTTTCAACCCCATACCTATAACGATTTCTTTCATTCTCTCCTCTATGTTTTCTTTTCCTCCGCCCCCAACACCAACATACACTGTCACACATATATACACATACCGTCACACATATACACACACACATGAAAAATGAAAGTGGAGTATTTAAATATTGTTAAGGCACAATCATAACAAATGTCCTAATGCATCCAACAACCAAAATCCATATTTTATAGATATAATTTTTCTAGTCTCACAGAATTTGACAAACAAGGGATTGGACATAAACATTGAAAAATTTAAAACCAAAGCCAGGAAAATTACATCTATAAAAACAATAGAAATTTCAAGACAACTTGCATCATCAAATCAACCCACAAAGTTTTTTTTCAAGACAACATGCACACTCCATTGAAGCAAAATCTGTCATGGTGAACGGATTCAATTGATACGGAAAGAATCAATATCTCCCCAAAATCAAAATGTTGCGGTCCACAAGTCGTTCCACCATGTTCGCTCTTCTATGGGTAAAGAGGCATTTATTCAATACCAGAGTGTTTTCATTATATGCAGCTTCCTCAAAAAAATGATACCGTTTTGTGCTATCATAAAACAAAGATTTTTTTTTTATGAAATACGAGAGTTGTCTGACTACGTAAACAAAAAGTTAGCAAAAATATAATTATATAAAAAAAGATTAACTTCATAAAACCCCACCTACTATAATATTTTGTAATATTACACCCTCCTTCTGGAAGTCATCTAACAAACTCCTTCCCCATTATTTGCAATTAATTCACATCAGCAAAGCACCAGTCGTGGGATATTTGACAATTTAAGGAGTTCTGTGATTTAAACATAACTTCATAAAGAAAGGACATTTTTGTCATTTCACTATGTAACTAAAATTTTTGTCAATTATGATTAGTGGAGAGGTGAGGTCAGGTGTCTGATTATTCAGGAGGTAAAATGACAAAATTTAATAGTACAGGAGAATTTTCTTATTTAAACCTTAAAAAAAAAAAAATTTGATCAGTTTAAACCCAATAAAAAAAAGAGAAGAATGTTAGCACATGTGTAGCCTCTGGAACTCTTTCCCCGTGGCAAACTGTTCAAGGCTCTTTTACTTTTGCAGAATCTTCCCCAATCTATCGAATTGCCCAAACTCTACAATCCATCATTTCTCTCTACAATATTCTACAATCTCCACACAAATTGGATTTGATGCATTCATACTTATTTAATAAATAATACATCAATTACTTGATTTTTTTTAGGTTAATTACTTTGATGCGTTCCTCGAGCAGAATCAAGTTTTAACTTTAGGCCATTTTATGGTTATTAATTTCTCCAAATAACTTGGTGGGTTGATTTAATGATGCAAGTTATTTTGAAATTTTCATTGTTTTTATAGATGTAATTTTTTTATGTCCAATCCCTCCGCAATGTATGTCAAATCCTATGAGACTAGAAAATTTATATCTATTGACTTCATAAAAAAGCGTTTAACCATTGGGTTAAACCCAAGTTAATTTAACTTTTCAATAGTATTGGTAACGGCAAAACGATCTACAATTTTACACTAATACCCTGACATACTAATATTTATGTACATCATTTTGACACAAATTATTGAATCTACCGCCAGTTTTATCATTTCAAAAAACATATAAAATTGTAATTTAATTACGAAATAAAGGAATGCACACAAGCTATACATACATGCATGCTTACATCGATATGGAAATTAGGAGCTACACAAGAAGAAAAATAGAAAAATGCCTTCCTAACCAAGTAACATAGCTACAATAAATAGAATATTAGATGCCATAAATCAATAAAAGAGTAATTCCCGAAACGGACTGTGATCAATGAGATGGACCGAAACACTTGGGACTTCCAACTTCTTAACCCAATAAATTTTCTAAAGAATCATCTGATACTGGACACTCTCAAACTAGAAGACCATGGGATACATGATCAGCAATGATTCAACTACCAAGGTTCCAACTTTCATGAAATTTCCAAGCTCAATCAATTAACATTACATCCATACCTCCACCAACATAGAATATGTACTAACCAAAAAAAAAAATGTCAATCTTTCATTTTCACATAGCATAAAAAAGACAAACAATATTTACTAATATAAATGTTTGAATAAGCAATTGAAATCAAATTCTGCAGCTATAATTTTACTTATCAATAAAAAATAAAAAAATCTGAACCTATATTTCTGAGATCTAAGATATAAATAAATATATATGTTTATAAAGTAATGCCACCTAAATAATTAACACTAACAATAAAACCATATTCCCAATATCAAAATCTAAAAGAAAAGAAATAAGCAAAGAAAAAATTACAATAAACTGTTAAATGGAAACGATAAAATATGTAGAGATGTTCAGATCGATAATGTAAGAATAAGATGATGTATATAGGTATGTGTAAGATATATATAGACAGAAATTAGAGGACCTGAACGAGATAAAGAGCAGTGGTAGCGGTAGCGATGCCCCACAAGGCGTTTCCGGCTGCTGCTGTTGGGGGCTCTTCAAGACCTCTATGTTGATACCCACCTTGAGAAAGATAAAATCTAGGGCTATGACTTCAATTGAAAAGAAACAAATCGATATTAGGGAAGACCAAACCAGTTTTTCACCATGAGATGTCATGTAAAGGTGAAGGGATCATCATCGTTTGAGAGAGAGGACGGAGAAGAAGAGATAGGGCAAGAATAGCAAAGAGCATATCGAATAAGAAATTGAGAAGCATCTGCAAGTGTGATCCCTAGTGGATTAACTCTGTATATACTTAATTAACCAAAACTACATCGTTTTGAAAGGGTACTCTTGTAAAATTACTTAGTAGGTAATTAAGAACGAAAAGCTTATCGTCCCAAAAGGCTATTTTTGATCATTTTTTTGTAAGCTTTGTTAATCACAGTCGCCTTACGC